CTGGTGGAGAGCTGGGAGTCTAATTAGTGAGAAAAAGGAGGGTTTATATGAGTGAGAATTGTTGAAACCAAGGTTGGATAAAGCACAGGGACAAATAACCAAATGAATGGAAACACATCAACTATGAACCAAAGGCTGAGGGGCCCCCAACTGGATCAGGCCCTCTGAATAGCTGAGACAGTTGATTGTCTTGAACTGTTTGGGAGGCATCTAGGCAGTGGTACCAGGTCCTGGGCTCATTTCATGATTTAGCTGTTTGAAACCTGGGACTTATGCAGGGATGCTTGGCTCAATCTGGGAGGAGGGGACTGGACCTGTCTGGACTGAGTCTATCAGGTCAATCCCAGTCCTCGGGGGAGACCTTGATCTGGAAGAGGTGGGAATGGGGAGTGGGCTGGGGGGAAGGGTAGGGGGGCAGGAGGGGAGAGAAGAAGGGAATCGGTGGCTATTATGTAGAATTGAGTAGTATTGTAAAATAAATACAAAAAAAATGAAAAAAAAAGATGACCACACAAGCCTGCTAAACTAACACTCCTCATCCAAATGCTGTCATGTCAAATGAGGAAAAGAGAGGCTCCTCAGTCATCAGAAGGGCAAGGAGAGCCTGAAAGGGGAGCATACACATATCTTACGCAAATGGAAAAGGCACATGATTATGAAATGGCCGCTTACCATTGTATTGTTTTTGATGGCACTTAGGGTGTCTTCAAGAGACCAACACTTCCTCCAAGCAGAGTACTTCAAACTGACCAAACACAGTTGACTGATCCATCTAATAAACCCTCTTTTATAATGTGTTATATCCATCAGCTTCATGAGAATTCCGAACAATGTGGCATCTGTCAGCCCTCATTTACAAAACACTGTAGCACGAATGCTTTTGTTTAAATTGTATTGAATACTAATGACCAAAATACAAAAGCTACAAAACATTTGTAGTGAGGTCCTCAAAGAGGTTTCAAAAGACTTCTTTGAAGAATTTTATGAGGGTTCATGCCAGAAATTGGATAAAAACAGTACTTATTTCTGTTGAAGTTGGTTAATTTTCTCAACATTCTGTGGATCAAAAAAAATAGTACTGCAGACTGTAGTGTGTTTCCATGGATGTGTTTCAGAGCGTCCTTATGAAATTTCATTATTACTCAATGTCTTGTGGGCTGAGTCAAGATGAGAATATATGTTTAGTCAAATGCCTTTGAGTTTGTGCCCTCTTAAAAAATGACATGTCATTTAAAATAGCAGTTAAGACTGATAATAATCATTGTCATGTCCAATAAAATTTCTGTTTGCAATTACTATTGAGCAAACCCCAAATAAGAATATTGTTGACTACGGACTTGTGAGCTACTATTATTATAGGTAAAGTTCTCATATGTAGACACCAGGTTTCAATATTTTTATTTTGCCTATTTTTTTCTGAAGTTAAAATGAGTCTCCTCTAGAAACTGCCCACTGAGGTAAGTAGTTTAACACATATGGAACAGTAGACAAAGAAAACATTGACATTAGAAGATAAAATAGAGTGTTAGAGCATTGAATTAACAATGTGAGAGGGGAAATGAGATGTCCATTGATGAATTAAACAAAATGTGGAATGTATGAGAGATAGTTAAGAAATAACCATCATTAAACCACAAAACTCATTCAGTTAATGGACATAGTTGTACACAACAGAGAAGAAAGTGTAGTAGATAAAGATCTACTGAAACTTAATGCAGAAGCCGGGGTGTCTGTGGGAAGGAAGGTAAGTAGATATTGACCCCAAACTAATCATAATTGAAGAAAGTTGATAGATGGGATTGCTAGATAACATCACACTAGATGGTATATAACATACTTAAGAGTAGAAAGAAAATCTATGGTCTTACTTAGCGCTTGATCCTGAATGTTACTACACTCACCCCTGACAAGATCCACTTAGTTTTGTAATATTTGGATTTTATCATAGAAAAATATAGTTTTCTAATTGGATTTGAGGCCAAATCTGCAGGAATATCTGCATATCAGGTTCTGTAGTGCTGGGCTAGAGCTCATTACTTAGGAAATATTAGACCCTAGGTGCAACCCATGACTCGTCTTTTGAATTTTTTACTTCTTCCATTTAGTTGTCATGGTTACAGAATATTTCATCATGTATTCATGGAACACAGATCCTGTTTTGCTGGGTAAAATCACATAGCTTTATTCCATTAGGGCCAGGCACTAAGCCTTCAATTGATTTATATTTTAATTTGAAGTCTTTAAAAAATTAGCAATTTAAGTCTGGAAGTTCATTTGATATGAATTTCTCACTAACAGACACACACACACACACACACACACACACACACAACTTTCCATGTAAATATTGTAGTGCAGCCAATATTGTGCATGGCTCAGTTAGTCAGAAAATTTGTTTGAATTTAAATGTGACACAAGACCAATAAGACTGTCCAGTGTGTAAAGCTTTATATATGTTGTTTGTTTGTTTGGTTTGGTTTTTGTTTGTTTGTTTTTTGAGACAGAGTTTTATTGTCTGTCCTGGATCTTGCTCTGTGCACCAGGCTGGCCTCGACCTCACAGATACACCTGGCTCTGCCTCCCAAATGCTGGGTTTAAAGGCGTGCACCACAACTGCCCAGCAAAGCTTTGGATTTTTAAGTTTGACAATCACATTTTATTGCCTAGCACCCAGGTGAACGTGGATGGGAGGAACTCATCCAAAATTTTATGCTTGCACTGCACACAAACACTTTAATATAGATGCACACAAAGACTGTACAAACATTGCCATTTGCACCCACTCTATACACACATTCATACAAAAATGAGTCCCACATTGAAGATCTAAATAACGCAGTAGATTTTCAAAAAGTTTATGCTAGAAGATGAAATTTATTCACTAATTCACACAGCAAGAAAATGCCACTAAACAGGGTAAGGGAAGAAACTTGAAGAAAGAACAGTGTGAAGAATCTGAACACCATGAGAAAGGTGAATGCATAATTGGGAAAGAAAGATGGGTCCACCTTCACATTTGTGAATTAGATGACATGGACAGATATGTAGGAAGTTGTGTCAATCTTGAAAACTCGGTAAGTACAAATTTCAAATTAGAAACATCAATGGAAATATATTAAATGTTAATGAATACTGTAAGTTTTATAGAACATATAGAAATGCATGTTTGAGAGAGGAGGTGCAGAATGATAGAAATCTTAAGCAGATATTTCATTATAGGGACTAGATTAAAGATAAGTGAGTGGATTTAATATTTGCATGATTCAAAGTATTTTAGAGATTAGGAACCTTATTTGATCAAGTACTAAGCTATATTTTTCATGTAAACAATAAAATTTCGTATAGAAAAATATATACAGAAGTTTGAGTAATTCAAATCCCCTTTAAATTCTAAACTCTTATGTCCAGTCCATGTAGCATATTCAAGACTTAATCTGATAAGTTCATCATTTTTATTGATTCATTGCTCATGATATTTCTTCACTTTGCAATGTCGACTGATGAATATGGAGTTATTGTTGTTTCATGATTTCATGTTTAGGCAAAAGAATGGATGCCAGCTCTACACACTTCTACATAAATTTGATACTGCCATCATAAGATCAATACATGAGTATCTTATGCTGTCATGTAACTAAATATATATGCAGTGCATTAAATTCATACTCATAGACCTTAACATTGTGGTAGCTCTAACAAATTATTTTTAAAAGTAAACTTATTCAGTAGAGGTTGATATTTGCATCATTGTTTCAGATACGTCGAGATCATTGCAGGACCAGAGACAGGGTGGAGATGCTTCTATGAGCGGATTCTTAATGTTCCCTGATAAATTTTCTTCTCTCCCAGGAAACTGGGTTCAGAGTGAAAACCATAAGTGTATAAACATTAAATCTATTCTTCTAATGGTCCTTCTATGTCATTTGGCCCCTCGTCCTAAATTTCCACAGACATTACAACCCATGAACCTTGTGGGAACGTTTACATATTCTGTCCATCATAAGTGGATAAGTAGTTTCTAGAAGATGTTTGACAAGAGGTTGAAGAAGAAACAGTGAAAAATGCATGACATTTAGGGAAATTATTGTCAGTTGATTATATGACAATCTTGGTATCTTGAGAGTTTTTTAATATAGGATAAGATAGTTTTTGCATGAAGAAAAACAAATAAAATATTTTGCCTGATGATACAATAAGAAAGTCATTGTTTGAGGTTCATGACAGTCTGAAAATATAGCAAATGTTTTATGAAAAATTATAAAAACTGTGTTTGGGTTAAGTCACCTAAATTTTATGAGAGTAGAAAAAAAATGACCCTACATATTTCACTGGACAGTTATAGAATTTCAGTATTACACTTTTCTAAATATTTTTTAAAGTCATATGTCAAAAGTTAAAATTTAAAAATTTTAAAAGTTAAAAGTTACACATGTTGGGTATGATATTTTTTAGGTAAATATAAAAAAAGCATAAACTTGTATTTTAGAATTACTTATTCAGTCGAATCATGTTTTAACACTTGTGTTTTTCAATTTCCATTTATCACATAAAATGCATACTAAAGTAGAATTTTGTGACACACACAAACATATATATATAATTATTATTTCATAAACCATAAAATCAATTAATTTTATTAACAATTTTTTAAAGAACGTAAAAGTTAGAATGAATATCTTAAATTTTATTTAATTCTCACAGTGTCTTCTTGATTGCCAGATAGTAATGACTATCATTGACAATTAATTCACAAACTACAATGAATTATAAAAATGTATTAATGCAGTTCTTTGATTTTGGAATTCCTACTTTATGCAAACACAAAAACTGATAATCATTTCAAAGTAAAGAACAGAACACTAATCTGCTACTCTAATCCAAATGAAATGATTCCTCTCAGTCTCGGGTGCCATTTCGTTTCCATTATATCCAGTTTTAAGCACCATGGTCATCATGTGCATACATTTTGTTGAAAAAAATGGAAAATGCAGTAATATGTGTGCAGCATTCTGTAAGTGTAATATCTAACTTTAGGTGGTTATGAACATGTTTATTAGCCTGCCTTTTCATAAGAAAATATTTAACACCTGTTTTCAAGGATCAGCATTCCTTGGTAGGAAGTCTCTCCTCAGTTAAGTACAGAACCACAATTTGAGGTACATAGAATCCTTAAATAAATTTTCATACCATATTTCAGTCAGAAATGTCTATGAAGTGAGTGGCAGCATCACATATATAAGACAACAGTTTTCACCTCCAAAGATTGTGTGTCACCATCCTTGGGGAAAAGTGAGGAAATACCTTCACAAAACTAAAGACTTCATTTTTGGCATCAAATTTATTGTAAAATTAACAATACTTATGATAATGAATATAAACTGTCTATCAGATATAAGTCCATAAATTGTGAAGTACCATGGTGTACCCAGAATGCTGACTTCGTCTCCATATATAATTCTAGAAAGTAAAATATCATTTTGTGAAGAATCTTTAAAAAAGAAACAATATTACATTTACGGGATATCAAATTAGTGATTGGCATTTGTGCTTTGCAAGAAGACTCATGAAGGAAATGACTAATGAAAACGCTAGTATGTTGGCCATTCTGAAGTGGAAAGCCACATGTCCATCAAAAGATCATCATCACAAATCAGATTTGATAGGTTAAAAGAAAAGAAGTATGTGTGTGTGTGTGTGTGTGTGTGTGTGTGTGTGTGTGTGTGTGTGTTGATTGAGTAGAATATAATAGGTAGTGGATCTCAAAGGACTTGCAGCAATGTGTATTTCCTCCAAATTCACAGAATACTTAAGAAACTAAATTTAAAAATCAATAAAGTTATGTAGGTCTAGACAATAAAATTTGAAGGATTCACACTTCAGAAAGAGTCATACTTCTAATGGTCATCTCTCTTTACTTCCTACATTTAATGAAGCAAAAGAAGCCAGTCTCAGTAAAGAATTATGGGACATCTATGTGAAAATGTCTGCTGCATATGGAATCCCAAGAGAAAATATACAAGATAGCCTCAAAAATGGTAAAAGATTGTGTTTCACATGAGAATATTGATCTGAAATAAGAGAAAATAATAAAATTTATTGATTTCCATGTTCATTCCTGAAAAAGAGAAATAAAAATTATAGAGTAAGTGAATGACATTTTTAACTTTGTATATCTTATACATCACAGACACCTGTCCTGAATGAAGCTACTGATTGGGTGAGTTAATTTAAAATAAAAATATTTGTCAGAATTCAATATAATAAACAAAACATCCATTTAATAAAAATATGCTATCTGGAGAAACAGGAACAGATATATGATGGGAAACTTTTGCAATAATACAAAAAAAGTAGAAACAGTAAAACAAAAACTAAACCTGAAATCATTAACAAAATATATCTACATATTTTAAAGTTCATAGAGTTCTATCATCTCTTTTATTTATTATGTATGAGATGTAAATAGAAAAATAAAATTGACTGACGGACTCCAATATCTTCATTTCAAGACAAAATGAAGAAATATCATGAGCTGTAAATCATTAAATATGATGAACACATCTGCTTAAGTGTTGAATACGCTACAGTGACTAGACTTAACAATTCACAATCTAAAGGGGACTTGAATTTATGAAACTTCCATATATATTTTTCTTTATTAAATTTTATTGTTTACATGAAAGATGCAAACTCCAGCACTTCATAAAATAAGGTTTCTTATGTCTAAAATCATCAGAATTGTGCAAATATTAAATCTTTAATCTAGTCCCTTTGATCAAATTTCTGCTCAAAAATTGCATCATTCTATATCGCATCTCTCAAACATGGATTTCTATATGTTCTATAAAACTTACTGTATTCCTTTGCATTTAATATATTTCCATTGATGTTTCTATTGAAATTTGTAATTTCACAGGTTTCAAGATTGAGACGACTTGCTACATATCTGTCCATGGCATCTAATTTACAAATTTGAAGGTGGACCCATCTTTCCCAATTGTGCATTCACCTTTCTCATGGTGTTCTGATCCTTTACACTTTTCTTTCCTCAAGTTTCTTCCCTGGCCCTAGTTAGTAGAATTTTCTTTCTCTGTGAATCAGTGAATAAATTTCATCATCTGGCATAAACTTTTTAAAAATTTATTACATTATTTACATCCTCAGTATGGGACTCATGTCTTGTATGAATGTGTGTATAGAGTTTGTGTATGTGGCAATGTTCCTACAGTCTTTATGTGCATCTATATCAAGGTGTTTGTGTGAAGTACAAGCATAAAATCTAGGTTTGAGTTCTATCTATCCACCTTTATCTGGGTGCTAGACATCAAAATCAGATTGTCAAATTTAATAATTCAAAGCTTTGCTTGGTGATGGTGGTAAATGCCTTTAATCCCAGCACTCAGGAGGCAGAGCCAGGCAGATCTCTTTGAGATTGATGCGAGCCTGGTTTACAGAGTGAGATCCAGGACACGCACCAAAATATCACAGAGAAACCCTGTCTTGAAAAACAAACAAACAAACAAAAGTATCCAAACCTTTACACACTGGACAATCTTATGGGTCTTATATCACATTTTGATTCAAACAAATTTTCTGATTAACTGAGCCATGCACAATATTGGCTACATTTCAATATTTACCTGGAAAATTGTGTGTGTGTGTTGGGGAGGGGTTTTATACGAAGTTCATATCAAATGAACTTCCAAACCTAAAATTGCTAATTTACAGAGTTCAAATCAAAATATAAATCAATTGAAGACTTAGTTCCTAGTACTAATGAATAAAACCATCTTATTTGATCCAACAAAACAGGATATGTGTTCCATAAAAGATCTTGTAACCATGGCAATTAAATGGAGTGCAGTAAAATATTTAAAAGAGCAGTCATGGGCTGCATCTAGCGTCTAATATCTCGCAAGAATTGAGCTCTAGCCCAGAATTACAAAACCTAACATGAAGATATTTCCACAGAACTGACCTCAAATCGATTTACAAAACTATAGTTTTCTATAATAAAATCCAAATATTACAAAACTAAGTGTATCTTGTCAGGGGTGAGTGTAGAAGCATTCAGGATCAAGTGCTAAGTAAGACCACTGATTTCCTTTCTACTCTTAAGTAATGTTATACACCTTCTAGTGTGATGTTATCTAGCAATCTCATGGATGTCTATCAACTTTCTCCAATTTTGATTATTTTGGGGTCAATATGTACTTCCCTTCCTTCCCACAGACCCTGCACTTCTGCATCAAATTTCAGTAGATGTTTATCTACTACACTTTCTTATCTGTTGTATATTAACTGTCCATTAACTGAATGAGTTTTGTGGTTTAATGATGATAGATTTTCTTCACTCTCCCTCATACATTCAATATGTTAGTTAGTTCATCAATGGACATTTCATTTCCCTTCTTATATTGGTATTTCAACACTCTAACCTTTTATTTTATTTTCTAATGCCAATTTTTCTTGTATCTACTGTTCAGTATTTGTTAAGCTACTTACTCACAGTGGGCACTCCACCAGACTCCATATTAAATACATAAAATGGAAATTTGAAAGTTAGCATCAGAGTATGAAAACTTTAATTAGAGTAGCTCACAAATCCATAGTCAAGGACTCAATATTCTTAAGTGGGTTTCACCCAAAAACAACTGCAAAAAGAAATTTTAAGTGGATATGACAATGATTATTATCAGTCTTCTGAATCCATCAATCTTAACTGCTATTTTAAATTACATGTCATTTGTTAAGAGGGTACAAACTCAAAGCCATTTGACTAAATATATCTTAGAAACTTGACTTAGCCCACAAGACATTGAGTAATAAAGAAACTTCATAATGGCCCACTGAAAGGCATGTATGGAATCATACTACAGTCTGCGGTACTATAATCCTTGATTCACAGAATATTGAGAAAATTAACCAACTTCAAGAGAAATAATGAGTCTTTATCCAGTTTTTGACATGAGCTCTCCTGAGAGTCCTCAGACAAAGAACTCTTTTGAAACCTCTTTGAGGACCTCACTACAAAAGTTTTGTAGCTTTTGTATTTTGGTCATTTGTGTTCACATCAATTTAAATGAAAGCCTTCATGGTACAGTGTTGTGTAAATAATGGTTGACCGATGCCACATTGTTTGGGATTCTCAGGAAGCAGATGGATACAACACACATTATGCAAGGGTTTATTAGATGGAGCAGTCAACTTGTGTTTGGTCAGTTTGAAGTATTCTTCGTGGCGGATGTTTGGGACTTTTGAAGACACCATACCTGCCATAAAAAACAATGCAACAGTAAGTGGCCATTTTAACATCATGTGCCTTTTCCATTTGCGTAAGATATGTGTATGCTCCCCTTTCTGGCTCTCCTTGCCCCTCTGATGACTGAAAAGCCTCTCTTTTCCTCATTTGACATGACTACATGTGGATGAGGAGTCTTAGTTTAGCAGGCTTCTGTGGTCATCTCTTATAGGCAGGGCATGATCAAGACCTCTGACATGGACTGTTGCTAGGTCCTTAGGCAGACTCTGCAGGATCAGGAACTCTTGACATCGAGCAGAAACTCCGACAGTGACTCTTGCTAGGTCCTCAGGCCAACTCTGCACACTCAGGAACTCTGACATGGACTAGGAGCTCTGCCAGCTCCTGTTGCTAGGTCATCAGACAGACTCTGAACAATCTATAACTCTGCTATTGACTAGGAACTCTGATGGCAGAGTTCCTGATTGTTCCCAGCCAATGAGGGATGACCACACAAGGCCACCAGATTGTGACACAGACTGGGCACTAGGCAGAGAGTATATAAGGCCTTCCCTGTTATTGAATAAACAAGTTTGCTGATTGCCTTCAACAAACTCTCAGTGTCTATGTCATTGATGCCATTTCTTCACATTCCCTCCCCTAAGGGAGATGATAGTTTCCATTAACACCTCCTCCACTCTGATCCCAACTCTTCATAACAATCTGAAAAAGTCTTATATTTACAGATTTCCCAGGAAGCCTGAGATACTTCTCACCATTTTTCTAAGATTCAGGTCAAAAGTTGCTCTCTGGGAAGACTTTTTAAACTTAAGTTCAGCTACATGGAGTAGAATGAAGTGTGGATTTTCACTATATTTATAAATTATATTATAATTATATATAATATATATATTCTAAATATATCAAATATTATATAAATAATAATTATAAAATTAAGGAATCTTACCTGAGTACCAGGCTCTTAGACTTCACACCAGCCTAGTCATGAGGTCAGTTCCTAATAAGTGGGTTTTCCCAACATCTACTCTAGTACTTAGAGTGAGGGTTTAAGGCTTTTTAGTTAATATCATACATGTGGAGATTCTCCATGGATTACAAAGTCCAATGGGAAAAATAAAAGGTCATATTAGTCAGAGAAGCACATGTAACATCACCTTGTGCATAAATTAAATGTGTGAGTTACTCTTGGACAAAGATAGTTTAATTTTCCCTTGTAGAGATAGGTAATGTCTAATATTACATTGTACAGGAAGAAAAGGCCTGAGGATCCCTCAGACTCACATATACATGGAAGATCGTGTATAAAAAATAGTGTACAGTGACTCTTTTGTTGAGGGAGTTCTGTAACAGCTTTCTAGTTTCTGACTAGCTTGGGCAAGGGAATCTTTCTGAAACTCTTTATTCAGAGGAGAAAAGCGTCTAGCCACATTTTTCATATGTGGAGATGCAATTCACCCTTTGCAGCAGGTGAAAGCCCTAGGTGACCTTGGTTAGTGGGAGAAGATTTGGGTTCTACATCATTAAGTACTCAATGTGCCTCCCAGGTATAGATATGCATACCATGAATCAAATCTTTGAGAGTGCAGAAAGAAATCATAATTTTCTTCCAGTAGGATGGTGATCTTCTGAGCAATGATGCTTCTCCAAGAATTTGTTTGGCTCTATGGATGAAACAGAAAATTTTCATGTGCATTTACTACCTTCTAGACTGATGAATATAATTCTCTTTTAAACTCTATATCCTCTTCCCTGTTACATAGACCAGGATGTTTTGTGGTCCCATCTGGAGCAGACATTGAAGTGGCAGACTCAATCTGATGGGGAGGCTCTTATATGCAATGGTAAGTCAGCATAAAAAGCAAGGTCAGCTAAATTCATCAGAGGTGTAGAACTGAAGTGTCTTTGAGGAGATGAGTATCTGAACCGCCTCCATGATCATAAGGAACACTTTGGAGTTTTCAATCATCAGAGAATTATGCCCAAACTGCCAAAAGAAACAAAGAATATCTCTAGCCCTCTTATTTGCAAGTGACATTATAGGTTCCCTAACCCCTGTGTAGTCTGAATCTGGAAGAATCCAATATATTTTTTTCTACAGAGAAAGGGAGTATAAGGCTCCCCTCATCTCAGTCCCTAATACTGAGTAGGAAAATGATTTTGACTCAATTGTAAGAATAGACAAATGGGAGTGCCATTAAGGCAAAATAAAAATATCAAAATCCTTGGGAAAAAGGACAAAAGTCAGAGACAGCCTTTGTCCTAAGTTATGGGTCTGACATCTTATCTAAAAGGGAGAAAAGAGCTGGCTAATCAAAAAATTATGGAGTACTTGACACCTCCAATGAAAGAAAAACTATGAGGAACTCTTGAACAAAACTGAATATCAGAATGCCCTTGTTCCATGGTAGGAAGAATCATACTTCCCTGTCTTAAAAGAGATCATCAATAGAGGAATATCCCATCATGGCTCATCAGCTTGAATATTCATGCAGATGTTAGGATTTTCTTAAGTTACCTTTGATCCGTGGGAGACCAGCTAGCATTCAACAGCAGGAATGACTATCACTGGCAAGTTAGCCACATCTATATTGTGTTTTGATCTCAGATATTGGCATGAATGGTAGATTCATTGAATTTTTGGTGACTGGCTTGAAGGTAGATGGCCTGCATTCTAAACTCTGTTTGCAAATATTGTGCTCTGGGATATCAAGGTTGGATATTATTTAGAGAGAGAGTCTCTCAAAGATCCACATCAGAAAGGTAATCAGAAAGACATAAAGCAAAAGCCTAAGGAAGCATTACTCCATTAGAGAACATATTGGGTGTAATAGAGAATAAATGGGATATCCCAGAATACCTCAGGCAAAAAATAAATAAAGATCCCAGTCTATCTTAT